TTTGTTGAAGTCTGTGAGTTCTTTTACTCTTTAACTCCCAAGATCTGATTATTAATTAATTCTACCCTCAGTAGCTGCTGCACATCTGCATATTCATCAGTTATGAAAACTTTTCTGTTAGATCAAGAAAACATCCTCTACCTGATTAGTTTGAGTATTCTCATCACCTAACACTCAAAACTTCAACTTTTAAACTCTTTGCAGTGGCCAATTTACATTATCAACTCAGTTAATAATACAAAATTACACTGCTATACTCTCCCTCTGTTGCAGCACCACAGTTTCTTAAGAAACTTACCCCCTTTACCTGCACAGCAGTCCAGCACTCAACATGAGCTAGCGGAAAAAAAAAAAAATCCTCTGTTTTAATTAATAAAATATACATAACTGATTGTTATCACTGAGTGTTATCACCGTCTAATACAGGTCAACAACAAAAGACAAACAAGAAAACAACATTTAATTAATTCCATAATTCATCATTTATTTTATGTCACGTTTATGTAAAAAAATGTATCAAATAACATCAACAAAATGATGTTACAGTGTAAAAACAGAACAATAGATTAGAATTCTAACAATTAGACCTCTTGGTAATTAACCAACAAAAGATTTTTCTTGTGTAATATTTGTCAGATACAAACAGTCCTATAGAAGGATGATAATCTGCAATTCGTTAAGGACATTTGAACTCTAAATACTGACATTGATTTTGGGAGACAAATATGGAATAAATTTTACTTCAGAGAGAATTTGTCTTTTTATTCGAGTAATTCCTCCCCAAGTGACCGTTCCATACAACCCGAACAGGATGATGGGACTCAGTCAAGGATGAGACCACCGCTGAAAAGTGTTGAAAGTGACAATGCATAAGAGGAAAAAATTTGACAACCGACCGCTTAATACAGGTTCGACTATGAATTCCAAATTAGCCAATCAGCCCACGCGAAGAGCTCCATTCGCCTGTGTGGTATAATATAAAAAACCGCTCTAAGGTGGGTAGGTGGAGTAGAGTTATGTACAACGAAGAGAAAATCCAAGAAGACGAAAGAAGTCTAAGTCCAGCAATTACTCAGGGAAATTCTTGTCTTAAGCTTCTGAAATCGTAGCTCTAAGATTCTTGAGAAT